CGCCATTCTGGTTTCAGAGGCTGGGGCATTTACTGATCCGCGTGATGGTACGATCCTTCCTTTTTTTCTTCTTGATTTTCTTGGCGTTCTATATGGAGTCTTTTTCACTGTTAAAGTTGATAGATGACGTTGGTGAAGATCGTTGTTTTGGGATAGAGTATTTGTTATCCTCTGTTTGGTCACTGAGAAAGTGTAGGAAAAGTAGAAAAGAAATAGAGTTGAATTTTGAGCTTTAAATTCTCGGTTATTCAGGATAGGGGGAAAAGGGGGCAACAAAGTTTTAATTTTTATGTGTTTGAAGCAAAAGAATCAGAATTTAGAAGGCTCGAATTTTGTGCCGATTAATTTTCCAGGGTTTTACGAGCAACCAAACAGAAAGGCCGCAGCTTTGGGCGGGAAAATTCTGAACGGTCTTTTGCTCAAAACGACCTGTCGTCTTTGAACAGTATTAGAAAGAGTAATTTTTGTGGTTGTTTGAAGAAATAATAGGTCATAATTAATCAATTGGACTTTCTTACTTCTCCCAATTTGCCCACAAAAATTAAAATTAAAAATCAATTGGACAACCATGTTGTACATTCTGCTGAGAAGGGCAGAATGTTTTTTTTTTTTTTTTTTTCTGGAATAGAATATTCATTTAGAATAATCTTAGCTGTACTGGTTTCAAGTTTATTATTACACTCTGTGCATTGCAGTCACGGCTCTTCAAGATCTTTACAGAGCCCTTAACCACCCACCACAGCTGAAGGGATGGAGATCAGACGGCGGGGATCCTTGTGGTGAATCATGGGGTGGAGTGTCATGTTCTGGGTCATCTGTAATATACCTGTAATGCACACAGCTCCATTAACTATGCACCTTTTCAGACTTGGGCTACCTTAACAATGTACCAAACTTAATTCTTCTCTCACCTTATGCAGTAAACTTCATGGTCTGAGTCTCTCAGGCTATCTTACTGGCGAGCTCTATAACTTCTTCAATCTGAAGCAATTGTAAGTGATCATTCTGCTGTTTTTTAGCTTTACATATGCCTGTGCAAGCACAACTTTTGCTGATTCATTTTCATCTGGTTTCTAATCTTCTAGGGACGTTAGTTCGAATAACATTGTGGGTGAAATTCCATATGTCTTACCCCCTAATGTTACTCATATGTAAGTATGATGCTTAGTTCAGACAACTGATTGGTTAAATTTCATATTTTAGATCATTTACCTTTTTTTTCTTCTTTTTTTTGGTTGCAATTGTGATAATTCTGCTTTCTCACATGTACAGAAATATGGCATGCAATTATATGACCCAAAATATTCCCCATTCTTTACCTACCATGAAAAGCCTCCGACATTTGTGAGTTGCTTATTCCCTGACTGATTTTTGGTTCATGATTGTTCTGTCATAAACTGAAATTTTCCTTCCTTGCAGGAATCTAAGCCACAATTTGTTATCTGGACCTATTGGCAATGTATTTACCGGCCTACAGAATTTAAGAGAACTGTATGCTTCTTTTCATGTAACTCTTTTCATGTTGGGTTTCAAGTGAAATTGAAATGGGGGTTTTAACTTTTAACTTTGATCCTTTAAGTTGATGTAGAATAACAGATGTTCAACTTTTAATCTTCTTTGCTGGTATATCACGGGTTTGTTGATTTCTATTTTTGTTCTCTAAATCGCAGCATGTTGTCATTGGATGAATTCAAATTACAAGTTTGGATAATGGTCAGGCTGCAATATAATATGCCTTTCTTACTGGTGAGTTTTTGTTTTCTGCAGGGATTTGTCATATAATAACTTCACTGGAGATCTACCAAGTTCATTTGGATCCTTGACAAATCTCACTGGATTGTGAGTTTTTGTTCTGTTTTAAACTTTTTTCCCCATGTTGCAGTGCTTTCATGCTTGGGATAGTCTGTTTCTACAATTACGTGTCATCGATTCACATGTCCATTGGGTGCATCTGCAGGTACTTGCAGAATAACAAATTTACCGGATCAGTTGCTTATCTAGCTGAGCTTCCGCTAACTGATATGTAGGTTTCTACCTACCTGCCTTTTGCTGTGTTTTGCATTTTTGTTTATCTGTTTTCTTATTGCTTGCTTGCACATTTTCTGTTGACAGGAACATTCAAGATAATTATTTCAGCGGTATCATTCCAAATCATTTTCAGTCCATACCAAATTTATGGTAAGTGATCAGTTGTTATTACCTCTCCTTCTCCTGCAAAGGAAAAACATAAGTAAACATCATACATTTATCTTCTTTCAGGTTTGGGGGAAATAATTTTCATGTAGGGGATAACTCTCCACCCTGGGACTTCCCTCTGCAAACCCAGGCAACTGCCATTGAACAGAACATCCCTGCCCCCCCAGCAACTCAGTCAAGTGCCATTGCGAAGAACCCCTCTAAGAAATTAGGTGGACTCAAGAAGAAAAGGATTGGCCCTGGAGGAATAGCATTTTTGGTTGGTGGAGGAACTCTAGTGGCATCATGTGTTGCCCTTTACATTGCAGTTCGCATCAATCAATCGCGTGCACAGAGGCTTATAACCTTGGGGAGCAGTAATAGCTCAATGCATTCTCTCTCAGTCAGAAATACTGCCAGAGGTAAACTCTCACTCACTTTCATACTGATCCTGTATACAATCTATCAGTAAATAATTGTAGTAATCTATATAATTTAACCAACAGGCCTGAAATCTGTACTCTTGCAATCAATTAAAGTAAAAATTATTTCCCTGCTAGTTTAGTCCAAAGCACATTTACCTTAGCTCTCATCTTTAAACGAGCCAACCGCTGCAAGCTCAACCCTATGCTTAGCTCAGAATTGAAGTTCTTCTTTTAATATATTGTATCATCTCACTGATTAGATATCATTTTAGCTTTGAAAGTGAACGCTTAGGTGATGGTATCATCTGTATATGCCTTTCAGACATGGTGTTTAAACCTGAAATCCAGGTTTAAAGACATTCCTTGTAACTAATGGCACAAACCTCATCTTGATATCAACATGTCTAATGGCAATAAATTTTGACAGGAACTTGTCTTAATCCACTTCTGCTGCTTAGCTTCTCCATGCCTTTTCTTTTTCAGTTTTTATTTTAAATTCTTGATCTGCTCCCTGCCTTGTTATATATGGCTCTTCTACTGCAGAAGAAAGCCCACAAATATTGGCCTTCAGGTCACCCATTCTACCTCCTAGACGACTACCTCTTGCTTACAGAATGCAGAAAAATCCTAGAAGAAAAAGTTTCTCTGATAAGTACAGATTCCCAATGAGAGCAAAGCAGTACACTGTGGCAGAGCTTCAATTAGCTACAAACAGCTTCTGTCAAGAAAACTTACTGGGTGAAGGATCTCTTGGTTCGGTTTACAAGGCCGTGTTTCCTGATGGCCAAGTATAAACCTGAAATTTCCTTAGACTAATTATTTCTACTTATAGCCACAGTGAATTTCTATGGAACTCGTGAAAAATCTTTGACTGTTATTCCTTTGTTTCAGATTTTGGCTGTGAAGAACATCAACATGGCAGGATTGTCTTTCAATGAAGAAGAACAATTCTTGTATGTCATTTGGACTGCTTCGCGTCTGACTCACCCAAACATAGTACCACTGGTTGGCTATTGTGTAGAGCATGGACAGCATCTTGTTGTGTATGAGTATGTTAGAAATTTATCCCTTCATGATGCTCTGCACAGTGATGAATACAAGCCTTTGTCATGGGGCCTTCGTCTCCAGATTGCTCTTGGTGTTGCACAAGCATTAGAGTAAGTATTGTATATTGTTCTCCAGCAAGTTCATATCTCTTTGTCCACACCTAGTGGAACGACGTTTCGAATAAATAATTTACTGAGGCGCAAACTGTAAATATTATACCCTTTTTTTCAATGAAATGTGGATTTTAATTGCAATATATCTCACGAATCATGATCTTGAAAGTTAGAAAGTTTTAAAGATGTTGAGTTCTTAGTTCCTAGGTAGCAATTGATCCCTTCTATGTGAGGGAAATAATGTAGTTATCCTCGTTACTAATCTGTTTGGTTTATTTGGATTTCAGCTATTTGCACTCCACATTCACACCACCAGTTGCTCATAGCAACTTGAAGAGTGCCAATATCTTACTTGATGAAGAACTTGCTCCTCGAATCTGTGACTGTGGGCTTGCAATTTTGAGGCCACTTACAAGCAATAGGCTTAAGCTAAAGGTATATACTTTTTATAAATCAGTCCTACTTCTATGCTGATACAAAACAATTGGTAATAAACTGACACAAGCTAAACTGCTTAACTTCATATTTCTGATTCAAACAGGCTTCAGAAAATGCTATCGGTGACACTGGCTACATTGCACCTGAGCATGGCCAACCAGGCATTGATAGCACAAAGTGTGACATCTATGCCTATGGAGTGTTGCTTTTGGAGCTACTAACAGGAAGGAAACCTTTCGATAAGTACGCATGGTTCATACGCAGTTTTCCCATTTTTCAACATTATTATTGTCTTGTTTCTTGATTGTGAACGTATGCTGCTCTTTTGATTTACATAGTTCAATACCAAGGGAGGAGCAATCACTGGTGAAATGGGCTTCATTCCGGCTTCATGACAGTGAGAGTCTGGCTGAGATGATCGATCCCGGCATTAAAAGGACATTTTCCTCCAAGGCTATCTCCCAATTTGCTGACATTGTCTCCCTCTGTATACAGGTACAAGCACATACCTTAAATTTATGCATTAAGAGAATCTCTGTTTTCTTAGGGATTTCCAAAAACAACAACCGATTCTAGTACTGTTATTACTTGAAGCTATCAGTTGAAAGCTGTGTTTTTAGAAGTCATTTTTCTGTTGAAGTTGCTTATGCACTGAACAAACGTTAGCTTCTATCTGATAACATGTAATTGCTTTGATGGATGTTTCTTAACTGTTGAACAAATTTGATTTTTTTTGTTTGTGTCACTGAAACTTGAACAGCCTGTGAAGGAATTCCGACCGCCGATGTCTGAGGTTGTGGGATCTCTATCAAGACTAATCCAGAAACTGAATTACATGGGGAAAGGTAAAGGAGTAGATGGTTATGGTGTTCAAGTTGACCCTTTCGAGAGATCTTTCCGTTCAACCAACAGCCAGTTCATGGGCTCACCTTCAATGAGCTATTTGTCCATTTGATCGCTGCACACAAACTGAATCTGCTGCGTTGGATGTTTGCTACAAGATTGTGTTCTCTCGCATGACAAATGCTGTATATTCTTTTGTACAGGCCTTCTTTTCATGAATTGGCATATTTGGCAATCTTTGCCATAAGGGAAATTAAAGGGTCCAAATATATACGTACAATTGCTATCTGTCATTTTTGTAGACTACACAAAGTTGAAGTGACTGATTTCTGCAAAATTATATGTTGAGTTTGATAAGAGTTAGGGAAACCTCTTTCATGGATTCACTGGGATTTTAAGACTTGTTCTTCATTTTTCTTTTTTTTCTTTCAATTTTTGTAAGATCTTGAAGCAAAAAGAGAACCACGACTACAAAAAATAATAAATAAATAAAACACAACGCAGAGTATGGAATGTTTCACTATCATTGGAAGTTAACATCTTCTTGTGCATAAAGGCTACTATTCCAATTATATTGATGTGTCCGATTATGTTAAACTTGGATGATCTCTCCAACTATATCTTCCCATGCACCAAGCCCACTAAAGTCTAAGGGGGTATTGATCTTTCCAACTATATTAACAGATCTTCCATGAAACATGGTTGAAAGGAAGCAACCATCTTCCTATGCACCAAGGCCACTAGTCAAAAGGGTATTGATCTCTCCAATTATATTAACAGGTCTTCCATCGAACATGGATGAAAGGGTGCTTTCACACAGCTTCTTCAGCTCCCGGGTTTGTGCAAGAGCCGCTTCCTGTAATAGAACCTGGGGTTAGTATTTTGCGCCAAAAATTCAATCTGACATTAACAAAGAGAAAGTGGATGACCGCATTTTTCTGAATAATAGTATTTTTACACAAACAGAAGCAAGACAGGACCAGAGGCCCAGAAGTCAAAAACAACATAAAATGACTGATTCTAGCGTAGCTATCTTTCAGCAGTCAGAGTTAAGGGGAAGGGGAAAGGAAGAAACAGACGTATGATCATAACTATAATGGAAAACATAAATTTCCTAATTTTATACCTGAAGAACCAAAATAATTTACCACTAAAACTGGGAGACTTCAACCCTCCCACTCCCAATATATGTAAGGGTATAAAGCTATCAATAAATAGATCACCTGCTTAGGCCAGGAAGAAGATAATGAATTTTGCAGCTCCATGCGTTTGGCAGCTATACCCTTCAAACCATCTTTCAACTTAACTTCATGATGCTTCTTTTCTTCCAATGAACTCACTAATCTGTCTAGAAACCTGAAATTAAGGTTGACATAAGTTTTAAGTATACTGCTTCAGTTCACAGAACAGAAACAAAACCAAAAAAACGGGAGTTAAGTAGTAAAGAATTATAGTATATTGATAATGGCAAGGCTACTTTAAGTAACATGCTAAATATTGCAGCTAGAACGGAAGAGGAATTTAACCTATACCTATTCATTAAAACCGCAATTAAAATAGAATTATCCGAAATAGGATTAGCCAATTCTAGAAAGCTGCAACAAGAAGCCAATTTAAACGTTTAAGAATTTTATTAAAAACATTATTTGATGGTATAAAGGATCTTTCTGATATAACAACACACAATTAGGAGTAACCATGCAAAGACAGAAAGAGAAACAAGATCAAGCAAGTACAGTTTCCAGATTTATCGCCTCATTATTTCTTGTACTGGCAAAAAGTTACATCCAAGATGCTAATATATGCAAATTGTCTGTGTGCCGCACAAATTTAGGAGGGAATTTTATTCAATTTAACTAAATACTGTCACTGATTCTGCTTTTGGGAACATTCTATGATTTTCTTGTTTGAAATTCAAAATATAAACACCTAAACGAATTTAAAAAAGACACAAATCAAGAAAAAATATTTTGTGTTACCTTTTGGAGTTGAGAATCATAATCAAGTCCCTAGTCTTCCTATTTGTCAGCAGTGAAATGGCCAAAGAAACATCAGATAGCATTGCCTCGATGGCATCATGAGCATATTGCTGCAGCACAAAGGGAGCAACTGCCTGGACTTGATGTTGCAAGGACAAAGTTTCTTCATTCTTCAACTCAACCAATCGCTGATTTAAAAAAGCTTTCACCTGATAGCAGAATATTAATAGACAACATGATTTCATGTAAAGGAAGCTTCGTGATCTGACCACAGATATAAAACAGGAACTAGTAGGATCTTTCAGTCAAAAACAGACAATATTATACCAGAAGAACAAATGGAACAAATAGATCCAATGCAACCATAAGAAAAATTGTCATATACCTCATTCAGATCATCAAGAATCTTGTTCCTGTACTCTGTCTCCAAAAGTTGGCTCCTGCCTTCCTTGATTTCAGTTGTTTCAGTTGTTTCAGTTGAAGTATCAAGACCAGATGTTTGATTGTCTACGACTACGTTAGGAAAATTGACATCATCAATCACATCAACCCGAGGAGTCTCAACACTAATATCCCAAGATATCTCTGACACGGAGATCTCTGGGATCTGATCAGATTTTACAGCTTCATTTGGAGCACTCTGCAAGATCTCACTCGCGTTAACCATTTCATAAGGACCCAAACCATTACCAGTATCCTCTGTTTCTTCCAAAGTACCAATATCCCAATCAATCTGAGAACTATCCACAGAAAAATCCCAGTCTATACTATCTGCATTAATGTCTACATCCACTTTCACATTGTTTGTCTCATCATTGCTTGATTGAACATTCCCAGAATCAACAACCTCTGAGCCTATAGGGACATTCAATGACGGGGGATGTTCACGTAAATCTTTCAAGTTTGTCAACACGACCAAAGATTTCTGTGATCACATTCAAAAATAACAGAGTTGATATATGATATTAGTCACAATGATCTCAAATTTCCATCAACATCTACAAACAATAAAGAAGTTATTCTTCATATCATGAAACAAATAAAAATTATTATCGCCTTACATCCTTGTCTGTGTGAGCATCTCTAACAAAGTTTGAATAATACTCCAGAGCCCTTGACACAGAATCACCATTTAAAACTTCCAAAATCTTGCTAAATGTACTTGGAAGTGATTTCGCAGTCTCTAAAAGTTCCAACCTCACATTTTTTCCCTAAAGAAAAGAACCAGACAGGCAGATACCAAATTTAAGAAGGAAAACCTATCAAGCCAAATGAGAAAACAACAAGTAGGGGGGTCCAAGATATAACCTGCAGTCCAAGTTCTTGACAAGCCTCTACATACTTGGCTGCTGATAGAGTTGCACTTCTCTTAATATCAGCTTCCTTGTGCTCTAGTTCTGCTAATTGTTGCTGAATCTTTTGCACCTGCTTTTTCTGATATGGACTTCATAACAGGAGAAAAAGAATAGTCAAAACAAATCACTTATAAATACCCTTAAGTTTTAACTATTCTTCTTATCATGAAGTAACCAAGCAGGCATTGGCAAAACCACATACTTACATCTCATAGTTCACATTCTGAACCATTATTTGAGCAGCCTCGCCAAGATATACATAATCCTTCTCAAACGAACGTACAATTGATTCCCAAGCACCCTACCCAAACAAAACACAAAATTTATACACATATATATTCATATTACAATTCAAGTAGGTTTGTGCAAAGGAGAAAGAGAGAGAGTTGAAGGTCTTACAGCAGCACCGGATAGCCGGCCGAATATATTCCGGCTTTCGGGAGCTGACTTCGCAAGAATATCATATATCTGTTTGGCCTCCAAGTAACCAATTCCTAGAAATATTAACCCATTGAGTCTCAAGCACCCAATTCCCAATAGAATCACAAATTCACAATTCGAAAATGGATTAAGTTTGAAAAAAAACCAACCATCAGCCTCTAAGCTATGGAAATAGGGATTGATATCCTTAGGAAGGGAAGCGAATTCCTTGGAAATCCGAGCTCTCACTGCTGCCAATCGCTTTCTCCAGTCTCCAGGTATTCTCTTCCGATCAACCAGCCATTCTTCAATTCAATCCCAACGCAACAAAATTATCAATTCCAAAAAAAAACATAAATATAAAAATCTGAAAGGAAAAATTGAATTCCGGTGGTTCTATGTACCTCCAAGACGAGAAAATGTGATGTCGATTGGGAGTTTGCCAATATCTTCTGGCATTTTCCGGGAAAACGATTTCTAGGGAAAGCAATTTCCCTTCTTCTCAGAATCTCAGCTCTGTGTGATTTGAGAAATGAGTGAAAGACTGTAAAGTCTGAAAAGAAAGTGGTGCAGGAGGTTTACGGGTAAACGGGTCGGGACCCAAATGAAAAACAACACGGGTTACGGGCTGTCGTCGTATACGAGCCCAATTTTGAGGAGGGGCAAAATGGTCATTGCACACAGTAATGGTAATCTGGTGCAACAAGGAGCAGATGCCATTTTCGACCATTTTTACTGATAGTCTTTGTTTCTTCTGTGTCTTCGTTGTGAGAGCACTGAGTAGAAACTCGCCAGCTTCTCATTTTTCTCCTGAAAAGGTAATTTTCATTGTTCGCCTGAGCTTCTGCTTTCGTTTTGGCTCTTTCATGGATTCATATGCTCCTCGATCATATGCATATACATATTTAGGGTTTAGATTTATCTATTTTAACATTTGTTTTGTTAATGGTTGGATCTTCATTTCGGGCATTAGCATTTACTCAAATTAGCATCGATTTTGATGTTAATAGTCACATAATATTTGGGTTTTGTGGAATTTGTGTTTAATTGCATCTATGTGGATGATTTTTTTTTTTTTTTTTTCTATGTACCTCCAAGACGAGAAAATGCGATGTCGATTGGGAGTTTGCCAATATCTTCTGGCATTTTCCGGGAAAACGATTTCTAGGGAAAGCAGTTTCCCTTCTTCTCAGAATCTCAGCTCTGTGTGATTTGAGAAATGAGTGAAAGACTGTAAAGTCTGAAAAGAAAGTGGTGCAGGAGGTTTACGGGTAAACGGGTCGGGACCCAAATGAAAAACAACACGGGTTACGGGCTGTCGTCGTATACGAGCCCAATTTTGAGGAGGGGCAAAATGGTCATTGCACACAGTAATGGTAATCTGGTGCAACAAGGAGCAGATGCCATTTTCGACCATTTTTACTGATAGTCTTTGTTTCTTCTGTGTCTTCGTTGTGAGAGCACTGAGTAGAAACTCGCCAGCTTCTCATTTTTCTCCTGAAAAGGTAATTTTCATTGTTCGCCTGAGCTTCTGCTTTCGTTTTGGCTCTTTCATGGATTCATATGC